TACAAATTACATAAATGTACTCATTATAATAAAATATTAAATAAAAATTCAAGAGTAAACAAAAATGTGGTACAATTTAATATTTTATATAATAATGTAATATAAAAAATAATTTAAAATATTTTTGTGTGTACCTGTCTATCTGTCTGTCTGTCTGTCTATCTATCTATCTATGCACGCACATAATATTAATTACAATTATTAATTATTAACTAAACATTTTTTAAATTAATTTTAATATATATATATATGTAGACGTGTGAGGGCTCGCGCTCTTCAGAGACAATCACAGAATATGACAGAGCTTGTGTTTAAAAGCGAAACACATTGGAAATAATAATTTACTGAAAACGCAATGCAAGTCTGTTCTCTCTGCAATCTCGGATGTAATCAGCCTGGTTTCCTTTATTAGCGCTGTTTTGGACGGATTGTTTGAATGCATTCGCTTACTGGATCATTGGACTGAAAACTTTCCCGGAGTTTAGCAGCTTAAAATGATCTAATCGTAAGCAGAGTAGCAAAATTGGGTTAAAGGGTTAGGATAGAAATTATGCTTCAGTAATTTTGCGTTAATTGCGTTAAATTATTTTAACGCGTTAAGGATTGTAAAATTAATCACATGCATTAACGCGTTAACGTTGACAGCCCATATATATATATATATATATATATATATATATATACACATATACATTTAGGGAAGTACTCAATTTTTCTCTTTCAGCAAATAAATAAATATCTCTTGTTTTCTCCTCCATGCTCAGTATCTCTTCAGAACACTCTCCAAAGCTGCAGATCCGGAGTCACAGCTACTTGCGGGCGGTGAGTGAAGTTTCCATCAATAGGAGCCTGGACACCCTGGACCCCAAAGCTCTGCTAGCCTCTCCCCAATACCGCTCGCGCAACGAGAGCTACATGAGGGCTATGAGCACCATCAGCCAGGTTTGTGCTCACCCCCAAACACACCGTCATAGCGGGGTGCAGGGGGAGGAAGGTCAAACTCGGTCCAGATTAGTCCAACAAGTCCAGTTAAAAACCATGAAACCGACCTGCGATGATTCATCCATCATTCATGAGATGAATTTGGGCCATCACCATAAACATTGTTCAATCACAGATGTATATGTCTAACCAACTAACATGCTTCATGTTTCGTAGAACTGGGATGGCATTCATCAGACAGTTACTCATCCATCTTAGGCACACTTAGTCCCCAAGCACTGATTTGTCATGCTAATTACAAAATGGCAAGCATTACATCATTGTCATTTGGCGCCAACGTTGACTCTGAGATGGCATGTGCTCTTTGATGGAAGACCAAAAAACGAAATGAACAAGTAATATTAGCATTAGAAATGCTTTAGACCTTCCTGTAAAGACTTTGTAGATAGTGCATGACTCTAAACTTCACAGTTAGTAAATAAGAACATACCCATCTAGCTCTCATGAGTAATTGGGACAGAGTTTCAAGCTGTAGACCTTGTCCAAAACACCCACCCTTTCTACAATCCTCTTTCCACACTTCTACCTTATCACATCTTCATTTACCCCCCGCTCTCGTCCACCCTCGGTTTCTGTTACGATCAACACTAACGAACATGTTGATCCTGGCACTGTCTCGCTGTCTTCCACCTTGTCAATAAACCCCACTTGAGGAGTTCCTCCCTGCTGGTGTGGCTTGCACCTTCATTTACCCTGTGAAACTGTCCTTCAAGCCTCACTATGTTTCTTTTTTTGACTCTTCCTCCTCTTGCCACTGGTCTTTACCTTGATTGCAGTCTTCATCCATAAAAACTTTACTAGCGAGACTGGTTATCAAGTCGAGAAACCGTCTCATCTGGCCATACAGCGGTGGGATGTGTTGACAATACGTTCAGTCTGTACTTCACACACAGCGCGACGTGTGAGGGCTCGCACTCTTCAGAGACAATCACAGAATATGACAGAGCTTGTGTTTAAAAGCGAAACACATTGGAAATAATAATTTACTGAAAACGCAATGCAAGTCTGTTCTCTCTGCAATCTCGATCCTCTTTCCACACTTCTACCTTATCACATCTTCATTTACCCCCCGCTCTCGTCCACCCTCGGTTTCTGTTACGATCAACACTAACGAACATGTTGATCCTGGCACTGTCTCGCTGTCTTCCACCTTGTCAATAAACCCCACTTGAGGAGTTCCTCCCTGCTGGTGTGGCTTGCACCTTCATTTACCCTGTGAAACTGTCCTTCAAGCCTCACTATGTTTCTTTTTTTGACTCTTCCTCCTCTTGCCACTGCCTTGTGTTTTTCTCACCTGACATCTCTGCAGTCTCTTGCTCTGTTTTTCCCTTTCTTTCTGCACCCCTATATACAGTACAGTGCCCCATGGTAAGTGGGTCTTGAAGCTCATTGGACGGCTCTTTTCCCTGACCTCTGCCCTGTCTGTTTCTCTTGACTGTTCTTTTCTCATTTTCATTTCTTGACTTTTCTTTCTCTCTGAATCTCTCCTCTCTTCTCCTCTGCCTGCAGGTGAGTGAGGTTGAGGTTAACGGGCAGATAGAGGCAGTGTGTGAGAGTGTGTTCAGTGAAATGGAGTCACAGGCAGTGGACGCCCTGGACCTGCCCATGCCCGGGTGCTTCCGCATGAGGAGTCACAGTTACGTGCGTGCCATCGACCAGGGCTGCTCGCAGGACGACGACGGGCCTTTGCTCCCGGCCTCCCCCCCGAGGACCACCACTACTGTCAGAACCATCCAGAGCAGCACAGGTCAGCCTGCAAATACATTATAATTTTGTTGTTCTGTCTATTCATCTATTGTCCTATCGTTCATTCTGTTGTTCTATCTATCATCTAGCAGCGCACTCTAGCAGTTAGGGGTGGGCGATATACCGAAAATGTCGTGTTTGCATGCATTTCTAAGCATTCCGGTTTAAAAACAAGTGATTTTAAGCCGTTGAAACGCAATCAGTAGCGAAAGAAAACCCATTTAGCTATATGTGCGCGCTGTCTCTGAACGCTGTCAGAGAGGTGCACACATGAACATGGTGCTCATAGAGCACTGGAGTATTGAGTTATTTTTGCCACTTTATAACCCTTGAATGGTTAAATACACATACTTATTTGTGTCAAAATGCCCGTCTTTGTAGTGATTTAGGTCTTAAGTGAAAGCAAACAGCTAAGAAATAAAACACGTGTAACAGTATATTGGATCCGGGTAGCTCTTAAAGTGACAACAGTCTAATATTTCTTCAATCATGTTAATCAAACAAAAGACAGAAAATATGTCACTGCTCTTGATTAAATCACTTTTGTAACTTTAATAAGAAGAAATATTTTGTGAAGAATATGCAGTGTTTTTCTACATTTGATTATACAATGTAGCATTTCTTATTTATTTTTTTCTACTGTAATTTTTTGTCCTATTGCTTGTCATTAGTTTATTGTTCTTATTTAATCGCTGACTGTTTACTTGTCTTCAGTTGGCTTGAGTATTTTTTTTTAATTTACGCTAGTATTCATTTTTTGTGATATTGACACTGGTGACAAGAATTATGAAATTTCCATGGTATCAAAAATTTTAATATCATAAAGACCTTATTTAAAGCAAAAAATAACTGTATCATGATATATATATATATTGTTACTGTGAAATAAAATTAATCATATTGTGAAACAAGATTTTGGTCATATCGCCCACACCTACTAGCAGTATATAAAACTCTCTGTCATGTATCAAGGAGGTTGCCAGAGGAAGAATCAATATTCATTTGTTGTCTTTTCTGTGGGTCACAACATGTTTATCCTCAGAAGCCCTGACAGGATGTGTCTGATTTGCTTTTTATTAGCACTGCGAGGCAATAACAGTGGTAATGGGAAATTGAATGATTGAGTGAATTTGATTGATTAAATCTGATGTATAGAGGAAGAGTAAATCATTGCATGTGCTCTGAAAGTAGCCTGTCATGTTATTGAGGAACATATGAAATGGAAAATTGAGTATCTTTAAAAAATCTTTACACTTGTACATGTAATTGCTCAGCATCCAAGCTGAGATTCGAAAATATATTGTGATATTTCAAGTGACCAACAGTGATCCAGATGTCAGGCAGAATGTGTGAACTCAGTGTGACCTGTGTCTGCTTTTGCTCTGGGGTTTTCTTTCATCTGAAACCCCAGTGATCACTAATCCACCCCCAGCATCAGAACCCAGTTTGATTTCATCACAGTTGACATGTTCATAAAATTGTGCCCACAGTGTCTCGAAAATGCAAAGCTTTTGTTTACTATTGAACTAAACCTATTGGTGAAGCCTGTCTGTTCTTAAAATATTTTGCCCTAGTTTAAATGTGATTGTAAAGACCTTTTGTTTGTGCTGTTGGTCGCTAGTATGCGTTTCTGTTGTTGGCCGTTATTACTGAAAGCAAATATATTGCCAGTGAAAATAAGATGTCAGTCTGTTTTGACAAGGATTCAGCTTTTTTTCTGCAGGGGAGAGCATTTGAATACAGCAGTGGTGCATAATACATCATATCATAAACAAGATGAACGATTATCAATGCATGAATCTAACTCACTCAGAATTCAGACAATTTCTGGCACAGTTTTCCACAATTAATTTTTGTATTATATCACTGTACAGTATGTAGGTAGAAATAATCATATGTGACATGCTTTATCATTTTGAGTCGGATGTCATAGAGCTGTTTATAGAAAGACAATGAAGTAAGAAATGTTTTGTGAATGTCTTATGTTTGATGAAACAGTCTCGTCTTTCAAATTATGTGCATTTTATCATGAAATTATATTTATATTATCTAGTAAAACTAACCAAAATGCATCATCTGTCTCACAATCCCCCAGCGTTTCAACTGTAGAAAACACAATACAGTCAGGCAGGTAATGTTATCCTGGCATCCACCAAACTCGCCCATCAGAAAAGCATGATTCGTCACTCCATAGAACGAGTTTGTGTGCCTTTGGTGACTTTTACGTAGCATGCGCCTCAGCATTCTGTGACCCCACATTGTAACTTTACATGGTATTCTACTGCATAGAGTTACTACTGTTCCAAAATGCTTTCACTTTCCAGTAATATCACTTACAGTTGACCATGGAATATCTAGCAGTGATGAAATTTCACAAACAGACTTATTTCAAAGGTGGCATCCGATCACCGTACCACACTTGAATTCACTGAGCTCTTTAGAACGACCCATTTTTTCACAAATGTTTTTAAATGGCTATGAAATACTGTACGTGTATGTATATATGCAAAATGTATAAAGCAGGTCAGGTACAGAACAGTAAAATGTTGACAGAAGCATTATCACACAAGAAACCAATCATCACTGGACACTAGTCGCTACAAATCACCAATTCTTACTGAAAATGAATGACTTCCGTGTTATGTTGTTGTGTCGCTGCAGGTTGCTGTCACTGTGAACAGGGTTTAAGTTTGACAGCGTCTCTGATGGAGTTTTCACATTGGCAATTAGTTTGGAAAAGCCCAAGTATGTAATACTTGTCAGTAAAAACATTAAATGAGAGATTATCCACAACGCTGCAAACTTTGACATGTTGAATTTTAATAAATCAGGATGCTCGGAGAACTGTCTGATGTCGTAATCCTTATTGGAAGTTACATTCACTCTGTATGGTGCTTGAGACAGTGCTGCAGCCTCTCTCTGCACTAGTAATGCAGATTTGAGTGCTGTGTTCTCCACTCGTCTTCCTACTGTTCTCCAAATGCCTGCGGCTAGTCAGAGAGCCAACATATGGCCACCAGCCTCAGTGCATCTATGGAGAGAAGACAGTTGGCTGAGGAAGAGGAAAGTGAAGAAATGTTAAAAGTTTCTTAAAATCCTATAGGATAACATTAAGGGTCTCATGTTAGTGCTCATGTCACCTGTGGGTCGGTTATGTCGGTTATGTTATGAGTCACAGCTTTGGTTATGGCCATTAGCATGGTGCTCCTATGGGAGTGGAGCAAAACACCAGGGAATACAGCCTGTCAGAACTGACAAACTGTTATTTCAAAGCTTTCATTTTTATGCCATCCCTTGTTTACGGGGAGATTTTAAAAATAATTAGAGGCAGCGTGGTCTAAAGGGTTTGGCCCTTAGATCAATACAGGGGCAGTGATGTTTTAAGGCACACCAATCTTTTCAATTCATCTCACCCAGTGTAATCTACACAAGAACGCAAGCAACCAGGATCCTTCAAAAACATTTTATGACTGTTGACTGATTACAAATTGAAAAAAATATATAATGTAATGTCAATTGAGTATTTGTCAATGTAAGCATTGCTTCAAATATTTAAGTAATTATTCAAGGAAAGTAAACTGTTTAATAATAAACATTTTTAAAAAATATAAATGATTTATAAATTATAAATTAGAAGAGTAATAGAAATGTAAAACAAAAAGTAATGAACAAAAATAAAGTAAATGCAAGTTTTTCAGGTATTTAAAAGCCGTTGTTTGACAGTGGTTATTTACATTTACATTAGTATAAATGACAGTGTTAGTTATATTCAGCTGCATATTTTATTATTAATATTTATTTTTATTTTTGTTGCATTATTTACATTCACTTTGGACATTACTGATTGTTTACATTAATACCTCAGCAAGATATTGATGAATTTTAGTATTTACTTGGTACTAAAGTACTACATTTGACATCCTTAATGTAAAGCAAACTAAGCAAACAATGGAAAATAACTGGCTTGTATATATTGTGGTGAGATGATATAACCATCCGCTTGTGTTGCAGCCAGCTGCTGAAAGATGTGTGATGTGGATAATTAGAGATAGTGTGTTCCTCTACATGGGCTGCACCTGCCAGCCAGAGGCAGATGTAGTTTGGCAGGGCTGTGGAATCGATAGCTTCCATTTGTTTAAACTTCACACGCTGACAAAACTCAGAAGGGAGCAGGAGCCTGATGTGATGCCTTGGCTGGGGTGACTCTGGCAAGAGATGTGACAGACATGACCTGACCTTCTATCTATGCCTGACATTGATATGAGAATGAGAATTGCTGTGCGTTTGAGTGGTGTTTGTTAAAGTCGGTATGTACCCAACACCAAATGTGTTTGCGTGGTCTTGATTTGCCTTTTGCAACCAGTTTTACTTCTGTAATATGCGAAGCAGGACATTCAACCACAAAAATAGAGAAAGTGTTTTAAGGCAATTCACGTGAAGAACAATAATTATGAAAATAACTATAACAATAACTACTTTAGTGTTCACACCAATGGATGTAACCTTCTGTCTGTTGTAAGCATGCACTGCAGTTATGTCATCTGTCGCTTTAAAGCGCTCAACATTAAAAAGCTCATTCTGATTGCTTTTAATTATTTATTAGCTGGATAAAAATTGTTCTGAAAAAAATTACAATGATATTTTTTTTCTCTGTGTGGTTATAGTTATAGCTGTGGTGTGGACTTCACTGTTCTCATAGAATTAGAATGATTAATAAAACTTTTATATTTATTATTACTCGTCATCTTTAATGCGAATGGCCCTTTGCATAAAAAATAAAGCCAGCATGAATGCGAGTTAGCTGCAACAGTCACGAAATAGCGATTTGGTGGTAATTTAAAGGAATAGTTCCCCCTCAATGAAAGTTATTTCATCATTTATTCACCCTCATGTCTTTCCAAAATTGTGTGACCTTTTTTTGAAGGATGTTTCGACATGAAACGAAAGTTACAGGGGTTCAGGTTATGTCCGACTCCCATTGACTTTCATTGTACGGACAAA